AATCAAGTTATTAAAATATTAGTTACATACATGATTAGTTTCTATTTTATGTGCATCATTATACATTTCTATTGTTATTGAATAAATGTAACTTTTTCTTCATTCCTTCTCTTCACAATTTTTACATATTTTGCTTTCACTTTTCTTTGTTTTTTTTTTTTTTCTTTACATAAGAACCAACTCTTAGGTTAATACCTCTTCTCTAACTTCATAGTCCAAACATAAATTTGAGAGTGAAAGATTTGGAGTTATAGGAACAATTGAGAAAGACAGATGTTCAAATGTGCACTAAAAAATAAAAAATTATGAGGGTGAGAGAGATACTAAAAAAAATAGACGATGAGAAGATAAAAGAATGTCAAAGTAGTGAGAAAGAAAAGAACAAACATAAAATATTAGTAAATTTATGTATTGTGTTAGGATGAAAATAATTTTTGGAGATTAAAAGAATGACCATATTAAGAAAAGAACATAATTTTACCATTTTTGTGGGTTGAAATAGGAATAAAAAATAAAAGCAAACTTATTTTTTGTAGCCAATGACCATAATTACAAAGAAAGATGCAACATACTATTTTTTGCAATTGAAAATATAACAGAGAAAGAATAGTATATTTTCTTTTCAGAGTTTAAGTTGCAACTAAAGACATAAGTTTAGTTGAATCCTTTCTTTTTGTTAATGAATGAAACCTCAAATTTAAATTGCAGACAAATAAAGCTTAGAGAGTGGTGTTAATAATATGTTTTTATAATTGCTTTTGGTTGTTTTAGTCTATTTGATAAATATTCTAGTCAACAAATTGTAGAAATTAATTTGTTAAATAAGTTTATTAAAATATTAGTTACGTATATGATTAGTTTCTATTTTATTTGAATTATTATACATTACTATTGTTATTGAAAATGCAACTTTTTTCCATTACTTCCTTCATAATTTTTGAGTATTTTGTTTTCACTTCTCTTTGTTTTTTTTTTTTTTTTTGGAGCATAAAGTCTAAGTGTTAGGTTAATACATCTCCAAATTCATGGTCCAAACATAAATTTGAGAATGAAAGATTGGGAGCTATAGGAACAATCGAAAGACAATTGTTCAAATGCACTCTAGTGACTTCAAAATAACAAATCATGAAGGTGAGAGAGATACTACAAGGAAGAGACAAGAGAGTGTCAAAGAAGTGAGAAAATAAAATAAAAAAACATAAAATATTAGTAAATTTATATACTGTGTTGGGATAGAAATATTTTTTGGAGATTAAAAGAAGGATTGTAAGAAAAAAAAAACACAATTGCACCACTCTTTGTGGGTTGGAATAGGAGCTAAAAAAAGAAAAGTTTATCATTGAAAACATAAACAGAAAATAATAGTCTATTTTCTTTTATAGTTTAAGTTACAACTAAAGACATAAGTTTAGTTGAGTCCTTAATTTGTGTTTATGAATAAAACTTCAAAATATATGGGTGTTAATTATTCTCTTTTGGTATAGTACAAAAAAGATAGATAATAATTATATAGTAATTTAATTAATCTTTTCTTTGAGCAATATCTTATAGGGACAAATAATTCTCAAAACTTTTATCTTTTTTAACTACTTTATTGATATTTTTATGTGACATATTTATTAATTTTAAAAAAAATTAATTCCATGTACTTAAATTTTGAAAACATGACATTATGTGTAATTTTTACCTTCAAATTATTTTTAACTTGTCTCACATTAAAATTACAGTGCATGTGATGTAACTTTTGAAAATCCTAATTCACAAGCCTATTTTTAAAGCTCCAATTTAGAATTAACATTTTTTTTACTCCTCAGTCAAAATTGTTCCATCTATGGCATATATTTAAAAATAATCTTTTGTAAATTTTTACTATTGATATTCAAGACTGATATAAATAAGTACTCAAAGTTAAAATATGATATTATGAAAAAGTTCTCAATCACACCTTGAGGTATACTCACACCAATTATATTATTCTTATGTAACTCCAAATGTAACTCCAATATTAGTAACACCAATCATACTCATTGTGCTGGTAAAAGTGTTCTTGTTCAAGAATTTGGACTCAAATTTATAACATGGGGGAGATTTAAAAAGTCATTAATTTATGCTCTAATAATAAAAAGATAAACATTACTTATTGGGCTAATAAGGACGACTTTAAATAATTTCTAGGATTAGAAATGAAAATAGGAATGAATAGTTTTAGCCCAAAGTTGAGCTAGAGCACTATCAACAACTGTGAAGCATGCAATTTTGGTTTAGGTCAGATCATACCACAATAAACATACAATATTTTCTCATTGGGCTGTGTAGAACACTCTCCCACCCAGCCCATTGTACCTGCACTCTCCAATGCCCCATCAAGCTCAATAGTCTTCAGCAGCTCCCCAATCCATGGCCCAACCAAATTGATAGGCGTATCCAACAATAATTTGCAAGAAGTATAAACTAGGACAACCGCATTTCCACAAGAAAGCCTTTCGATTTGAGGTCCCAGTTAGGATTACACCTCTGATTCTCCAGCTACATAGAATTTTATTGTTCATATGACACGGGTTTTTGGTATCCAGCTATGTTCAATGACTTCCAAGTTTCAACAACCTAGCCAAAAGGAAAACTAAATAAATAAAATAGAAGAAAGGCTTCTAGCTAGCAATCATCGAGCGTAATGAAAGGGAATAATGTTGCTTGTAGTAGTGAGGTCTCATCTAAGATTCTGGTGAGTCATAAATGGGTACATAAAGTAATGCTCACAGTTTCAAATTCATTTTAAAACACCCAACAAAATGTGATTGGTTCACACTAAACCAATACTAAAATAGTTTAATTAAAATAAGTTGATGATATAAAAGTTTTTTATATTGTCATATAATCATAGACTACCGTGTAATTGAAAAATATTGACTTTTATAATAATTAATTTAAAAATCATATTTTAGTCTAGGATGATTTTTAATTGATTGTCCATATAAAAATCTTGACATCACTTTAAAATTGAACTCATATTAAAATGGGTTGCAACTTGTAACAGCTTATCATGAATTTTCAGTCATTCAACTTCATAATATACAGCTTTTTTATTTGAGTATGAAGGGGGTTCTCAGTTCTCCACATAAGCTCCATCCCTTTGTAAATGGTTAAAAATAGTGAGGGCATCATCAATTGAAACAGTTGCAAAATGTGAAAGCAAAGGAAGAAGAAAACGGTGACAGGTTAGTAAATTGGGTTTCCCCATTGGGTATTAGGGATTGGGGTAAAACGGTATTCTACGTCACTAATATAAAGATGTGATCTTTGTGGGGTTGTACCGATTATACTGTCTGAAAAGTTTGGAGGAAATAATGTCAATTGAGTTTATTTGCTGTTAGGTGAGCTGTGTGACACAGAATAACAAAAGGGCAGTGAATCTATATCAGGCAAAACTAGTTAAATAAATATACTGACACTAGGCCAGTGATGCCAGTTTTAAAGAGACCAAACCAAACCTAAACTAATTAGTTTGTATTGCAAAATGGACTTTGATCAGTTGATGAGCAGAAAGGGTACCAAATCATTGAGCCTCAATAATTTTGGACGTTGACATTATGTAATTAAAGATGGTGGTTTACTGGTTACTGCATTATTATCCTTCTATATGTTATTAATCATATCATTGCGCCCCTATTGTCTTGCTTTCATAAACTTTCAGAATCTTTCAAATCAAAATTAATCATGTCACTTGTTTCCCTCACATTGGTGCCAATACTCATCCGCAGGCTTATTCCTTTGTTTTTCTTTTGGTCACCCGTGTCAGCTTCTTCCCAAAGGAAGAGATAAAAAGATTTTAATCGGAATGGGAAAAAAGGAGGATAAAATTACAATGATTGACCATTTTAATCGTCAAACAAAATAGATCATTCAAGCCTAGAAATAAAGAAATTTTAATCCCTGTAATTGACAACAGTTGATTATTTCAGTATTTGATATTATCAATTACTATCAGTATTTTCAAATTTTGGTGCTTAGCTGTTAACTTGGTCCCTAATGTGTAGACCAAATGAATTAACAGTTATCCAATTGATTAATGATATTATTTTTTAAAATCAAATTGACTGACAGTTATAAACTATAGACTAAATTTACATTTTAGTAATGTCAGAATCAAATTAATTGGTAACGTCAATTTTAGACATTTTACATATGAATTCATCCTTGAACCCTGGTTGCTTTTGTTGGTGTAACCCCTACAGTCACGACTGCTACAATTCTGAGCCGTTCTTGACTTGTTGTAATCATCATGGTAATCATCATCATGCCATCATATTATATATGCTTCCATTGCAATGACAAAGAGCAAATGATATTAAAGAATAATTGACAAGAATCCGAAGAAGTGTAGCTGTTAGAAATGGGAATAAACAAAAGTTAAAAGGAGCAGAACCGTAGAGTTTGCCGTTACATATTCTTTGCTTTTTGTCCTAAATTTCATTCACTTACCGGACTAATATAATCCTTATATTATACAGATACATAAAAATACTCAGTAGGAGCAACGTCAACATAGCTGGCGGGTGGGGTACAACAACCCCACAAAGAACAAGCCACGACTTTGAATCTCTCACTCTCTCTCTCTTTCTCTCTCATACACACACACACACCCACAACCCTTTTGGTATAGTTTCCTATTTGTGCTTGTGCATATCAAAAAAATGATCTTTGTGAAAATAAATACGCAGATATATTATAACATATCTCAGTGATTTTACACTTGCAATGTACTGTGTCTCTTCGCTCTCACTTTCTTTCTGTTTGTGCTGTTGTAGCAGTGTGAATCTGTTACAGCTTAGATGCCCTGTACACGACACAGAAAAATAAATCCCATTCAACTTGCGGTACCAGACAACAATTATGCCACTTTACAGCCCACAAAATTTTTTAAAAAAAGATTAATTTTTTTTGCCTCTCTCTATGTCTGTCTTTCTCTGTAACATACACACACACACTCTCTCTCTCTCTCTAACTGCATTTCCCCTACCAAGTGTTCTTCTTCTTCAATTTTGGTTTTGTTGAATTGAATTTTCCTTTGGCTGGAGTGGAACCATCATTCAAAAGAATATAAAGGGTCCCTTGTTTTGTGGGTTTGTGTATATGTACATAGACATAATATATATACTATGTATATATTTATGGTGATGATTTTGAATTGGGGTGTTTGGTAGAGGTGGTAATAAACCTGATAGTGTGTTGTGTCTGTCGGCGCAAGGTCACTTTCTGTCGGCATTGTCTGTATCCACTATCCAACGATGATACACTTCTAGAGAGAGAGAGAGAGAGAGAGAGAGAGAGAAAAGAGTTTTCTAATAAAACCAATAAAAGTACAACGGAGAAAGAGAGGTTTTACTTCTGGGTTTTCATTGCTTACAGAGTGGCACTACCTTTCAGGGAGCATATTCATATCAGGCTTTGCCTTTGGAACCAACTGAGACTTGAAGGTTGTTCCTGATCTGAAGGGGTTTTTTGATTTTGATGCCCAAGGAACCTACTTTCTGTATTTGCATCTTGAGTGGAGTTCTTGATGTGATTGTCAGATTTGTGTTGAGGGTGGACAATTGGTTCATATGAGGGAAGGTGGAGGGGGATTGCGGGTCAATCTTGATTTCCGTGAGTGGCATTGGAGCCTCTTTCAAAGTGTCATTGGTAAATGAAGCTCAGGCTTTCTGAGATCCTGCCTCATTATTTATCTCGTGATATTGGTCTGAAGATTTGACAAAAAGTAACCACTTTATTCTATTTGTTGCTCCATTACACTCTCCCTTTATTTACTTATTATTTTTTTTTATTTTATCTTTTTTAAGATTTCTACTCTATGTAGAGCAGATGCAATGTTATTAAGTAAGATCCAATTTTCTCAGCCTGCATGGGATTCAGAACATACATGCATTTTTGCGGGGTTTCCTAAAATTTTTCCAATTTTTGCTGGTGCTGTTAGCTGGAAACTATTCATTAATTTTCATTAGCAACCCAATCGGATATACTCTTCTTTTAGTCCAGCATTATCATTATGTTCAATTTTATTTAGATTTTACATTTGTTTTCTTAACTGCATGCATTCTGCTAAGTCATCTTTGCAATCAGAAGTTTTTTACATACCATTGTCATATTTATCTCAAAATGAAAGGGAATCTTCCTTCTTTTGTAGCACATTATATTCATATTTCATAAATTGTGATCTTTTGCAATTTTTTGGACTCCAGGTTTCATGTATAATAATAGTTCACATAAATTTGTACAGCATAAGTGAAGGGATTCCCATACCAGATGTCAAGTACTCTTGCAGCAATATTTGGAGGAGCTGCAGGAGCCGTGGCATTGGTAGGAATTGCTATAATACTTTTATGGTGTTGTTTGTCAAGTCAGAGGAATGTTTCTAGGACATCAGAGACAGGATCCTCTGATCCTTCCCAAGGTAACATCTCGATTCTCACATGCATGTATAATATAATAGTTAGACATGTCTATTCTGTAATCAATCTGGTAGTTTACTAAAGATGTTAAAATAAATTCCATTACATGCAGTGGGAAGACATGGTGCGATTGAGTTGCCAATACGAGATACCAGGCGTTTTGAGATGGAAGAACTATCTCTGGCCACAAAAAATTTCAGTGACAAAAATTTGATTGGAGTAGGAAAATTTGGGGAAGTTTACAAGGGTTTACTTCAAGATGGGATGCTTGTAGCCATCAAAAAACGTCGAGGACTTGCAACTCAGGAATTTGTTGATGAGGTCAATTTCAGTTTCATGCTTTAAAACTTTATTGTATATGATGCTGTGAGTATGAAATGTATCATTGATGTAAAGTGGCTTCCCATGCTCTATTCTGTGGAATAGTGACACATGCTGGGTACTTTTTAGAAGTCCTTGATGAATTACTTAAGAGATGATTTTCACTAAATTTGTTTTCCTTGATTTGTTTCTTATAATTTTAAAAGGATGCTCGCTTTATGTTCATATCTTACTTCTCAAGTCCTTCTTCTGAACCTTGTCTGTTTCTGCTTCAGAATTTTGAGTAGAACTCTACAGTAATTGCCAATTAGCTTAATATGTTATTTGATTCATAAAGATGAATATTTCTTTGCGCATTAGTCCACACTAGCTAAATCTTTTGTGTCAGTCATGTCTGCATAAAGTCTGTATAAATAAATATATGTGAACATAATCAGTATTCCCATCTTATATCCTTTTGTGTGACACACTTTGATGATTTATTACAATATAAAGCATTATCACAGTTTTTCTTTTTCTTTGTCAGACAATTTCACATCATAATTCTGATGGATTGGCAATTGCATGCATTCTTTAGTCTTAAATACAGGTACCTCTTAATGTTCATTCTCTTGCTTTGATTTAACATGACTTTGTTTTACTTTAGGTACGCTATCTCTCTTCTATTCACCATCGGAATCTCGTTACTCTTTTAGGCTACTGCCAGGAAAACAATATTCAGTTTCTTATATACGAATATGTGCCTAATGGAAGCGTCTCCAGTCACTTGTATGGTAAATTTCTGTACTACCAATCACTCTATTCAAATGATTCTTACCAATACTGATAGTTCTTATCCCGTGCTTCATGTTTTGGCAGCATGCATGCATAATTGAGTTGCATTGTACTACATTTCATAAAAATTTTTGCATCTTATTTTAGTTAAATGAATCCTTTCTTAAAGCTGATGATTGTGACTTTAATATTCCTCTGCAGGACCTGGTCAGGAATCACAAGAGAGGCTAGAATTCAAGCAAAGACTTTCAATAGCTCAAGGTGCAGCTAAAGGTGATCCTTTGCAAAATCAGTGAGCATTTGTGGCTTTCCTGGTATCAGTTTTCTTCTCTTTTAATATAAAATACCCAAGTATCTTAATGGATCCCACAAATTGTTTTTGTAAGCCATCCTAAAACTTTCAGTTATTTGGTAACAATACCTTCTCTATGCATGAAGTACCTCTGAGGAAGATGTTCCTGATTTTCAAAGGCTCATTCATACTATTCTATGCAGGTTTGGCTCATCTTCACACTTTGAGTCCCCGTTTGGTGCATAAGGATTTCAAAACCGCTAATGTTCTTGTGGATGAAAACCTCATTGCTAAGGTTTCAGATGCTGGACTTAGAAATTTTCTGGGGAGAGTTGACATAGCAGGGTCATCTTCTCAAGTGGCAGCAGACGAGATATTCCTTGCACCTGAGTAATAACTCTTAACTCTTGCATGCATGTATTTATTTTTAAATTTAATTAAAATACAATAACAGTGTAAAGATTTTTTACGCTTCGTCCATCATGGATTATGGCATATTTGGAAACCATTGACTTTTTAAATAATTACTTTACTGAGATGATTTTTAATTGGTTGACAATGGAACAATCTTTACATTGATAGTGTACTAAAATTGACTTTGTTTTTCTTGATATATGTTCATCACACCCTGCAGGGTGCGAGAGTTCAGACGATTTTCTGAAAAGAGCGATGTATTCAGCTTTGGCGTATTCTTGCTGGAACTATTCAGTGGGAAAGAAGCAATAGAATCACCATTTCCAGACACTAACCAAAATCTGGTTGAATGGGTACGTTATTATTTTCTAACATAGCCTGGTTTTGGGGGCACGTTTCAATTGTCTTACATGTAGTTACATTTCATACTGTGCTTTGGACTAATCCTATATGCAAAGTCAATATGCTGCATTGTGATTGATTTGTGGTCTTGTTTTTCCTCCATAATAAAGGTGCTAAGTAATCAAGACCGTGGCATTATGTCTAACATAATTGATCGGAGATTGGATAGTAGTTTTACAGCTGAAGGCATGGAAGAGTACATTATGCTTATAATAAGATGTTTAGAATCTTCAAGTGAGAGGCGACCAGCCATGAGCTATGTGGAAATGGAACTTGATCGGATCCTAGAAAAAGAAATGAACTTGACAACAATCATGGGTGAAGGAACCCCAACTGTGATTCTTGGAAGTCAGTTATTCAGAGCAACAACATGAAAACAAAAAAGGGGTATTGCTATCTTAAATTGTTACTTATTATTATATATTATATATTTGTGCATTAAATCTTTGCTTTCTCATTTTTCCCCAGTGGATACCAGAGAATAGGGTCAGCTGCTTCATAAGTGTATAAAGAGCAGCTGTATCCCCCTCCCTTCTCTTTGTTTTTTCTTTATTTTTTTTTTCTGGGCCAATGAACAGCTGTATTCTTTTCTTTTTTCTTCATTATTTTTTCCTTCATAAATGTACGAGATCTCTTGTAAACCATTATTTGTTGTTAATATGACAGTGAAGATTTGGTTGGTGTGATAAACTATGAATCAGTTTTTCATGCTTCCATTCATTTATGATAATACAACTTTAATGCATTGAACTAATGATCTCAGATTCAAACTACTTTTGCTTTGTCTAATTAATAAAAAATACAATAAATTTATTGTATATAACATTTTTCCTTTCCTTTGAGCATAAAGAAATTCTCACTTTTTGGGAGATGGGTTAGGTGGTTGAAAAGACTGGGAGTTGTTGGTGAGAGTGCCACTCCTCATTTTTCAGCAGCAAGAGAGAACATTAAGTAAGTTTTGAACAACACTACTGTCTCTCATACCGTCACATTAGTCTGTGGTTAGAAAACATCGACGTGGAGCGGTAATAAAACGTTCAGCATTTAAGTGTGCGCAGACAAAATTATTCATTTTAAAACAGCCTCCTATTGTTAAGCAAAAGGGAAAACCCCAGACAAAGTATTCACTTCAACCTAATTCAATAATGGAAAATGGTTATACTTATACATCTGTTGAGAAATTTAAAAATATAAAAATGAAAAATAAATTAGAATGCTTACAGTTTTCTTTATTTTTTTATGACATCATATATTTCACCCTCCTGTTTGACCTTCCTATCTCACTAAATACACACATACTCACATACTCACAGGTGTATAAGAACCATTTTCCAAGGTAAATCAGTCCACAAAGTGTTTTTGGAAGAATTGTCTAACAATCATGGGGACACCCGTGCCCACAAGTTCATAGTCCATTTGAGAAGGTGAGTCAACAACAACAGGGTCAAATAGACCATTCAAGAAAGAACCCACCCTCGTGACCAAAACAAAACAAGGCCTCCAGCAACTATCCTCTCACTCTCTCTTGCATTCTATTGTGCCCCCGCAGTGACAGTGCATGCAAGGTTTTATTTTTATTTGTTTTGAAATTCTCACAATAGAATGCGGGAATGCGTCTCCTTCAAGTCATCGACTCCTTCAGCCACAGACCTTCCTCCTCCTCCTCCCCATTCCGAAGGTACCAAAATCCAAAAACCTAAAACCCCTTACACTGATTCTGATTCTGATTCTGATTCTGATTCTGTTTGGACAATACCTCACCGAATGTTCGCCTTATTTCTCAGGAAACTCAACCGAAGAAACACCTACCACAAGTCCCAATGTCTCACGCGAATTCGACCTCGCCGTGCAAGCGAACTCCTACAACGAGATTCGCTCAATGATCCAAGCGCCTCCTCAACTAGACGATGTCGAGGTCGAGGACGACGAGGATTCGCACCACCGCCAAGTCCTCTCTCAGGTTCTTCAACCCGACTCACAGAGCGTCCGAGAAGCACTCGCCAAATCCACCCCCAACAGCACCCTCACGCGCATCGTTTCCACCTACTTCGACCACAGCGAAACCACCTCCGACTTCTGCCTCCGCCTCAGCCGCAGCATCAACCGCGCCCGTGAAATCTACGCGCCTCTCTTCGCATTCCTCGCTGTTCTCCCCATCGATTCCCTCTCCCTCTCTCTCTCTCAACACCAATGCAATCACGCCTACGACCTCTTCCTCCAATTCCACCGCCACGAAAACCCTTTCACATTCTATCGTTTGCATCAATTACGCGAGAGCTTCTCCGACCTCAAGCGCGACATCCAGCGCGACCTCCGCAAGCGCCACACCCGAGCTCGCCTGCTCCGCCGTGCCACCGCCGGTTGTGCAATTTGCATAATTGCCGCCACTGCCACTGCCATTGTCTCCGCCGTAATGGTTGCTGCCCATGCCGCGGTAGGATTCGCGGCATTGGCTGTGGCGCCATTTTGCAATGGGTGTGTTCCTCGTTCTAAAAAGAGTGAGAGGAGGGAACTTGCTAGGTTGAAGCAGCTTCAGGCTGCGGAGAATGGGACTCTTGTGGTGAACGATATTAACACCGTTGATAGCCTCGTTGATCGGCTTCAAACGGCCGTGGAAGGCGATAAGGCTTTTGTTCGGTTTGCATTGGACAGGGATAGGGATAGGCACCCCATTCAGCAGGTGTTGATGCAGCTAAGGAAGAACCAGCCAGTTCTGGAACAGTTGCTTAGGGATCTTGAGCAACATATATACTTTTGCTTTTACTCTGTTAACAAGGCCAGATACGCGCTTCTCAAAGAGATATGCCTTCATCAAACTTTGTAGTTAGTTCCTTTCTAACAAATTTTTTTGGTTTCTTATCAGATAATTGCCGGTGATTCTAGATTGTGCAAGCTATTTAACAATGCACAACTGACCCATAATTGAAGGTTTAGACTCTGTTTATAGTTTGTGACGCTGAATCTATATGATATACCCCAAATTAACTTCCTTTGTTTTAAAGAACCCCTTGATGCATTCACCATTGAGATTCATTCATATGTGATAATAGTGCGTGCCAACCTTTTAGTCACCATCAAAAAAATTTTAGATCTTAGATGAAGGATTTTTGGTATAGAGCAATGGTCAATATTTCAGGAGATTAGGGCTTTATGCATGGTATGTAACCATTGTTGTGGATTCTGATGCAATTCATAGTGTTAATGTAAATGCAAATTTGTAGTATTATCATTTTATGGCTCTGTTGATAACGCTAATGATGGAATTCCTTTTGGATTATGCATGTTGTGTTGTTTTAACCTTTTAGTCTGGTGATGATTCTGATGAATCTTTTTAAGTTATAGATTTTACCCAAATGTTACTAAATTTGGTTATTTATAAATGGTTTGCTAGTTTTCCCTTAACATGTCGGAACAGGAATACATGCAGTTTCTTTGTTTTTAGTACCAGTTGACTCTCTCCCAGCTATTATCGTTATTTCATTTTCTAAAAAGATGGCGGAAATGAAAGCTATATATTAATTTTGCTTTCTCATTCTAAGTCCTGTATTGCCTATTATTCAGTTCAAATTCTTGCCCTAAATGTTACATTTTTTTTGTGAACAACTTTTGACCTTTTGTATAATTTGAGTTTTCACCTTGTTTTTTCATTGTGAGCATTTTTTATTGTCTTTCAAGCTGATTTTTTTTGTACACAATAAATAATACCTTTTTTGTTCTCCCTAATACCTGGTCAACTTGTACTTCAATCCTTCCATCTTAGTCAAATTACGTTTCAAAATATTGTTACTACATATATAGCTAATACTACTTATTTGTACCATAAACCTGTCTCTGTTTGATCCTTCCAGCCTTCCAGGTGAGCTTGGACCATGATAGAATGAGAACTACTCGCTTGTATTATAAACCTGTCTCTGTTCAATACAATATTTTATGATTTATATCGCAAGCCAGTTATTTAGTGGATGTTTGATGAAATTATTGTGAAAAAAGTAATAATTTTAAAAGAGCTATTTCCAAAGTTTTAAGTATTATTAAAAAACAATCTTTTTAAGATCTAACTGCTAAAATTACATTTGTAAAGTTATTGCATTCTATGTATTTGAATGTGGTATTCATAGAATTGGATCAGGTATAGGATGAACTGATGTATTGTATTGCAGATACTGCCCTGGTCAGTATCAACATGGTACAGAACCAGAGGCCAAGAATGATACCAGTTGAACTCTCATTCTCTCCATAATTCCAAGGTATTTGAGAGGCTTGGTCTCTCGGATCCCAGATTCCAATTCTAAGTCTAAATTCTAGCTTCAATTATTTCCTCCTATTCCTTATATACTTGTAGTCATGTGATCCATGTAGCTGACTTCACATAATGAGATAAGACCTTGTTGTTGTCGTCGTTGTATTCCTTATACACCTTCCACTATTGTATCTAATGTTGATAGTACAGATGCTGACTTTATTTATATACTGCCGTTTCCATTTGGTAATTTATTAGGTTCATTTGGCAGTGTAGATTAATTATACTGCAGAATTATGTTGCAGACATAAATGCTTGACATCTTTAGAAGTTGAATATCAGCAAATTAGGTTAACTGGAACTTCTAAAAAAATTTGTAGATTACTGGTGGATCAGGGGAGTGGGGAGGAATTGGTTGAGGGGTATCAGGTGTACTGATATAATGATTAACCCTACTGCTTTTGGCAGAGCAAAGATATTTTAGATGAATTGGGCACTATATCATTAAGTTTCAGGCAACGATTCCATGGTGGGAATCATTTGGTTATCTATGACATGTCCCATCCTTTCAAAACTTGAGGGCGAGGTGAAAGTTTTGGGGAAGAGGAACGTAGTAATGTTAGATACATGGCCCAATTTCTCCTCAGTGGTTCTGGCAACATTGTTTGGACCTTTCTGAGGTTCTATTTGGCAATGTGTGCGGATTTTCTCCCTTATTTCTTCTTTTACTCGTGCAGCTCCTGCTGTCTGTGGAACAACCTTTTGTAACTTTCTGAATCGTGCTTCTTCAATCCTCGCCATCTCCACCCTTAGGTCAAATGTTGTTTCATCTGCCTGGATAATTGCACATTTTTTGGTCGGTTTCTAGTCTCCAAGCCGCTGAAGCGTGGTTCACATTCCGGGATGCTAACTAATTTCTTGTACCTAAGAACCTTCATCCTCGCTTGTATTTTCATGGCCCCAAATATTACTGATTCGCATTACAAACGGATGCCAATAGATCTAGAACATATTCAGGATGGAACCACCTGAGCACTGCCTTCTCAAAATCCACTAACTTCTGACTCTGCCATTTCCACTCTGCCCACCACTTGAGAGAACCTCCTCTCAAACCCCTTACACTTACAGCCTTAAGTAGTCTCTTTACCTCGGTTGCTCCCAAGGCATCGAAATTCTGCTGTGTTAAGCAATTGCCAGTAAGACTGCTTTGCATGACTCCTCATATGTTGGGATTATTCTTCTAATTCAGTTCCTCTAGCTCCAAGATTCGGGCTCCGGAACCAGGTTACCGCAGCGATGTTATGTTATAGAAAAATGTTTCAACAATATCAATGCCTTTTCTCCAAACAATTTTTAAAAAAGAGAAATGGAAAAAAGAAAGAAAAAAAAAAAAACTTACCAGTTATTCATAAACATTTTACCCTTTCTTTTCGCCATGACTATGATTATTCAGGTCGATTTGTGGCCAGTTTTGTATATCAAAATATAATATTGTATAAATACACAAGAAAGAACACATTGTATAGCTAAATCTATATTCAACATGCAGAAACCGTGGTTTTTTTTTTTTTTTTTGTCTTTGGAAAGCAGGCAGATTCATGCCATTTGTAAAGGGAAAAGATTTCACGCCCGTTGAAATCGATAGGGAAAGAGAAATAGGAAGGAGAGAGAGAGAGAGAGAGAGAGAGAGAGAGAGAGAGATGTAATGGATATCGTAATAGAAAAGGAAAAATAAAAATGAAAAAAGAATGAAAGGAAATGATGGAAAATAGACATAAGAGTGGGTTGGAAATTTAATTGTTTTCGAAAACTGTATAGTTTCCACCATAAAAAGTTATATTATATGATTAAAAATATTATATACACAAACTTTTAAAATATGAATTACTGCATCAGGAACTGCAGATCATGCAGTTCTTTTTGGACAGCAGAGAGTAATGATCCATGAAAAGTTCCAGTGGAAAAGACGTTGGCAGTTCCAATGGCATTTGGCTCTTCCGACACCAAACGACAAGCAATTATCGTTGTTTACTAAACTATTTACCATACAACAGTTGTTGTATGTACAACCTCGGCTTCATTCATCGCCACAACTGATTCGGTCATCAAAATTTGTTTGAAGACTGCAATAGATTTTTCTTAGAAAAATATGACTATTATTGTTGTTCTCGTTGTCCTCATTATATGGTTAAATATTAATGGTAAATATAATTTTATAACAGGTGAAATGTTAGATCAAGAGAAGCATTTCCTATGTGGTTTTTCATTTTAAAACTGCAGAGAATACATTTGTCAACTGTAGGTTTTTTGCTGCTTTCTGGATATTTATGGGCATGTAGTGTCTACTGAAAAATGTCATCAATATAAAAGTGGGAGAATGCTATTTGCATAATATTACTCATTGAGTGTCACGTACGCTATATCCTATTTGAAAGAGGTATGTATAATGGCAACCATTGTACCTAGGTGCTGTCTCCAGTTCGCTGCATCTACTGCATTACAATTTAGTTTGGGCCAGCCACTAGCCTATATTTATGAACTGGAACTAGAGCTAGCTGTTTGTTTTTGAGACTTTCTTTCTCAATTCCCACACTTTATTTCTTCAAATTTAACTTTGGGAATACTATTTGATAAGTTATAATTAATTTGTAAATCACTTTTTCAAAATATCATTTTCAGAATGTATTAAACTCTCCTGTAAAATAAACTATGAATCACTCGAAATTTAATTCTAAAAGTAACAAGAAAAAGCTTAACGGATGCAAATAGAAAATATGAAGATACAAAAAAATATTTCTGTTTCATTTTTGTTAATAGGACGGGCCAGGCCCAAGGTAAACTAGGAAAGTATGAAAAGAAACACCATTAATTTGACAAAACAAAATAAGAGAAGAACTAGCTTGTTTGACCCAAAAAACGAAAAACTAGCTTGTTAAAAAAAGAAAAGAAAAACTAAAATAGCTAGAGGATACTTGGAGGCAACTCACTTTATGCATTTATTTATTTTTTTATACAAGATTTTTTATGTCCTTTGATTTGAGACTTTAAGATAAATTTTTGTCTGATAGTTGTGTCTTGCCCCGCAGTTGCTTTGAAGAAGGCAATGTAAGAGACAAATGGATGAATCGAGCGAATTGAAGCACAAAGCTATAAACACATGTATAAAGCAATGTGTAATTATACTAGCTTGTCTGGAAATGAAAAGATGCTGCCATAAAAATAAATCTTGATAGAATGTAACCGATAGGATGCCATAAATAAGAATTTAAAACTATTTAGGATTTCAATTTTGAGGCAAAAGTTAAAGATATCTTCTAAAGGAAATCTCAAGTAATTTAAAAAACTATTATAGTTTTGAGTTTTGACTAAATAAGTTGCAAAAAATCTTAGCAGGTATTAGAGATTAAATGACATGATTATTACTAATTTGATCTCCACGCCCTCCCCCTCTTCATTAGTCTCCAGAGCTCTAGATTCTTGATACCATGCAGATTAACTTTATCTGTGAATGACTTTACTTCTTTGCTCGAGAAGTCTGCAATGTAAAGATTCACCAAATTACAATACGATATGAATTAATGGTGCTGAACTAATAAATTTAGAATGATAGTCTTGACGAAAAAGAAATATAGAAAAAAGTTAAAATAAACCAAAAATAGTTGACAACTACTAAATTGTCTAATTATATGTATTGATGCTATTGGTAAAGTCAACATTTTCTCAATGTAAACAAAAAATTATGGCTCAGTAAATTTCTCTAAAAAAATTTATTGAAGAAAAAATGAATTTAAAAAATAACTTTTTTTTTCATAAGTTAGAAACAACTTATTTTTTAAAATTTAACAGAAATTAAATAAATTAAAAAAAAGTATGTTATTTCTTATCTTATAGGAGAAATTTTATTTTTTTACTTTAATTGAACCTTAAATGGATTGTTATTTTTCACCAGCCAGGATTGATAATTTGTATTTTTTGGAAAATAATAATTAAATCGATGGTATTTAGTTTGAGATGTGGGATTATAAAGAGGGTTGTTTGACATGTGGGATCCTTGTGAAGTTGAGATGCTATTGTCCAAAAGATGGGAAGACTGAAAAAGGTCCCTTTTGAGAAGGGTATAATCATTGAAAATGTCACGACATAGACTTCATTGCATGTATGTCCCTTGCTTTTCTGTAGCCTCTTATACACACATTTCTCTTCTATGGTGCTTCCTCTCATGATTGCACCTATCCATTCTAGATGATTTTGACCCTTAAAATTATTATTTAATACCCAAAATAATCTATAAACAACTTAAATTTTGAGTCATATGACTTGAAATTAAATCGCACATAGTTCTTTTTAACTGCTATTCAACAGTTTTAGTCCACACGGTAATATTAATAATAATGAAGTGCTTTTGATGACTAATGCTTAAAGTTTTTTGTTTCTTAATTCAATGTTTAGAAACCACCGTCCTTGATTCTACTACAATTGGCAATTACATATATTTTGACCATTTACATCTTCAACTAACTCATTTTACCTGCAAATGAAAAGGTGAAGAGTTAGTCAATAATTTTCTTGTTGAACACGAGTAATATGATATGATCCAATGGCTTTTTAATTTGTTCAACAACCTAACAAATATAATCATTTCAACAAAAGATTGCCCAAGTCATTCGTCAATTACTATATGATTTATTTTAGGGCATATTAGGTTACCAGAATGGACTAATTGTCCAAACTACACAAATAATTCTTGAATTTAAGGTGCAGAACTAAAGAGTGCAGACAAATCTGAGTAGTGGGATTCGACCCAAATATGGGATCAAGAACAATGCCGTTCTGCCGTTCATATATTCACATGTCCCTTTATCTCTTATTCATCATATATATGATAATAAAGAAAACCCTCTAAAATGTTCAAACATTCGGAAGGGCACTATACAAATGACAAATAGGTAAGGCAAAATTAAGAGAATAATTTCCTTGATGAAGGCCCCTCGCAGCAGTAACAAAACAAGTTTATCACTATTCCAATGAAGTCTTTTTCTACTTACTTTATGAATACAACATCTATTAGTCCTTAAAATATAATTATCAGCCATTTTAATTTATAAAATTATAAAAAATAGATTTTAAAATTAAGACATGTCCAGCATAAATAATTAAACAACTTTTTTAAATAAGTACCGGTAGCTTATTCCCGATTTGACGTTGAATTGGAATAGCTTAGATAATTAGATAAACACCAGTTACTTAAGTTAAGCACACGTTGCTTAACACATTATAGTGGATCCAAACAATATAAAAACTAAAGAAAAAAATGGACATAAAACAAATGTAGTGCAACTTGTGGGATTCGTTTAAGTAAATTTTACGAATTGTATGGTTGAAGATGAGAATCATTTAACAAATAAAAAGTAGAAAGAAATAAATTATTATTGTGGGACTCATAAAAATTAATAAAATTTAACTTAAACAACTTGTAAATATATAAATACGGATACTCTTCAATCTGTATGGGAATAGAACTATTTGGTTTCATTTATATTTTAGCAAATTCTTACCTAGTCACTTAAGCAGGTAAAATATCTGTTTAAATGAATATTAATTAGCTTAAGTAAAATTAAAATTCGTCTAGACCAAAAGACATTGGAATAACAAGTGGTCACTTTCATTTTGCTTACACAAATATTAATAACTTTAAGCAAAAATGGGACAAAGAACACATGTTTAGTATTCTAACACAAAAATTCACAATTTAGTGAATTCTCCATCATTATTTATAAAATAAAAACAAAAAATATAAATACAATAATGCAAGAAAATTATTTTTAGAATGGAAGACCAAACCAATACAAGAAGAGTGTTTTGAGAATGGAAGAACTCTACTGTTATTTTCTTTGCCAATAACAGTCCAATCTTCTTTTAAGTTTTTTTGTGAAAGTAAGAGGCCCAAAGAAATATTTCTAGATGAATATGTCACCACACTTAACTTTACACACCAAAAAACATAACACAACATTTGACAAGAAAATATTTAAGATAAACCTAGGGTATATGGTTTCATCTTTACACTTCTTTGTATTCACTTTTAATTCAACGTTAATCTCAATTCTCCTATGATCATCAATCACTCATTTTAAAGCTACTAACACTCAATAATTATACAATGTTAATATTTTTTTCTCTAAGTTATAATCCTCAATGGTCAAATAAGGTAGAAAGAGAGGGAAAACATAAAGAATCTATGCTTTTTTTAATTCAATAATCAATTGAAAGATAAAAAAACTAAGGTTGGTCCACTTAATTTTCTATCTTATTTTACTCTATAAATTCATTAATTACATGTGGTATAATCGTCTATCATGCAATCAACTATAGATGTTAATAGTAGTCATTCCTAACATAAGAATATGCACCTGTTAGGGCAAACACCAATCTTTTAGAATTGTCATTGAACAGAAAGATCACATAAAGAATGCAAAGGATCCACCATAACTTTAACTGTAGATTTAGTTACATGTAACAA